GTGCTGGCTTTTATCTCCCTCTTGCATTTTGCCAAGGGGCTCTCAATGAGCACAATGAGCCCATTCTGCCCCAAAGTCAACCAAGACTCCCTTTTTTTTTTTTTAAAGAACTGGGAAACCACAGGATTGTTCCCAGGGAGCGAGGCACATTCCTTGCTGCAGGAGGGCGGCAGGAGACAGGGGCCGTGCCGAGGGCCAGCATCCGGCACACGGGGTGGTGCCGGGCTGAGGTACCGCAAAAGCAGCCTTGTGAGCGACAAACCAGAGCAGTGACAACACATGGCCTGCTCTGCATTAAAAAAAAAAAAAAACAAAACAAAACCACCAAGCAATTGCAGACAGATATATCAGAATGAGCCACTTATTTTTAAATGTGGTTTTTAATGTTTTAATTTAAAACACCTTAGGTATGAAAATAGGCAAGTAAGGTTTCTTGGGTGGTTTAAAATCTTAAGAGCAGGCAAAGTTTTCAAATGTGTTTTCTGTTTGTTTTGGAAATTGATGGAAACACTCCCCTGGAAAAGAGCAACCACCAGAAGGCATGGGAGAACACGGTGGCCTGAAGCACAGTGGGCAAGCCATGCCAGATCATGACAAAACATTTAATTATCAAACACTGGTGTGCCACCAGCTCCCAGCAAGCCAGCTCACACGCTCAGCCTGCAAATCCTCGAGTAGGCGAAACCACCCACGCTCTCTCCATGACCCACACCTCTGGCAAAGCTCAGCCGAACTGTGCCCCACGGGATGCAGAAGCATCATCCCCAGAGGGCACAGACCAACCCCTGCATCCCTGGGAGCTTCCCCCTCACCTCTGCATCCCAGCTACGCTATCCCCCTCCCAGGTGCAAACCCCGAGGGTGTATTTACTCTCTTTTAACAAGAGTACTTGGCCAATCCAAGGGTTGAATTCTTATAGAAGACGCCCCAAAATTAAGACTGTTCCTCTAGAGAGAGCTTAAAAAAAAAAAAGCATTAGTCATGACAGGATGCGAGCAGATGCAAGCCCTGCTAGCACTGGGTCTGCCCTTCCTGGAGCGGTGGCACCCAGCACCCAGCCGCTACTTGCTGGGTGACACCAGCGTATTGCCAGTGCCCTCTAGTGCCTGCCGAAGCATCCCGGCACCCCAGAGAAGAGGAACTCGCACAGACCGTGAAATGAAACTCCAACACAGCTGTAGTTTGTGGGCAGATACGCTGCCCCACATTTGTATACCGCACTGACATACAGACTGATCTGCAGTTCTTACATAAAAATTAAGACCGAGGCAACGTTTCCCTCTAAATCCTGTAAAGTATTAGGCGAAACTATACATCTTCCAAAAAAGTGCAGCCCTTCCAGTACCAGAACAGGATTCTCTCTCCAGAGAAGCCACCGAGTTCTCTGCAGTTAAGCAGTCTTCTTCACTCTAAGATTTCAAACACAGTCGTGACAGGACACAGGCTGCCGAAACACCCACATCCCAGTCGTGTAAGCACTACAAGAGTGGCTGTACACACACGAACAGTGACACATTGTGCATAAGTTGTGCGTATTTTACAGCTTCATTTAGTAGTGCGCAGGATCCTACTAATAGCTAGAATAATTGCACTGCAAATTTAAGTGGAATGAGAACAAGCTTTACAGTCATTTTAGGCGTTGTTTGCTTTCTTCTCTGACTCTTCTTTGTTTGGATCCTGCTTCAACCTGTAATCAGCCAAGGCAGCCTTGATTGCGTCTTCAGCCAACACTACAAACAAAACAAGACGTCTTAAGTATTTCAAGGACAACAAAAAATTGTTTAGAACAAAAGATGCTGTAAAAAGAGCAGCCAGCAGTGACCACTGCTGCAGGTAGCACCAGTCAGCATCTTAGAAGTAGAATGTCAGAATCCAAACACTTACTGTCAGTCTGCTGACCTACAGAGTCCAAAAGATGAGAGAGATCTGAAAACTCTTAAAATAACCCTGAAATCTGAACATAAGCAAGTCTCTCTTGCAGGCCAAGATTAGCTGTTCCTTGTGCAGAACCTTTTATTTGGAAAACAATATTCAGAAGCATCTGCGCTATTCCCAGAAGTCTCCCTCTCAAATACAAGTTTGTGTTTGAACTTTCACCATTTGGTCCTTTACTTACTAGAGCAGTGCAGTTTGACTGGAGGAAGGCAGAGTTCTTTAGCAATATCCGTGTTCTTGATTTTCAACGCTTCGTCAACCTGAAACGCAGTTAGTGTCTAGTCACTGGTCATGTGAGGTACAACACTGCCTACAAAGGCATTTGCTGTAAGAGTGCTTTAAGGCTCCAGAGCCAACAGAATCCACACAGAAAAATATCTCAACTGCCAGGGGCAGGATGTCAGAATTAAGGAATGTCTCAGACCAAGCAGTGGTGGGAATGAACCAAAGCATACATGTTACAGACTCAGTGCCACTGACAGGATTGTTCTATGCTTACCTTTTATCATAATATAGAAATGCCTTTCTTGTCTGTCAGAAAAAAGAAGTATAAATAATCTAAAGACACAGCATAACTAAACTTTTTTCATAATTGATCATGGGCATGTTTTTGCTTTCTGGATAAGACACAAAGTACTTCCCTGCAGATTAATAGGGGTTCTTGAAAAAGGCAACTATTACTTTAGAAGCCAGACCACTAACAGGGTTGACAGTCGCTGCTTTCTACGCTACTGTACCAGACTGCACAAAATCAGTACTGCGATTCCTAGGCCACCATTTCCTACGCACTCCCAACAGAGAACACAAGCAGGTCTGAAGCTTTAAAGGCTTTCTGCAGTGTCACCTCTGACTCTGACAGGCACCCTTACCGTTTTTCCTTTAACCCACTCTGTCGCCAGCGAACTTGACGCAATCGCCGACCCACAACCAAAAGTTTTGAAACGGGCATCCACGATCTTCCCGTTCTCATCCACTTCCACCTGCAAGAGCGTCAGTGACACCTCAGCAGCCTGCTCGGCTCCACCAGGCCCCCCATAGCCCCCCCTCTCAGGCCCAGACAGGGCCCTGGCTTCCACCGCGCCCTCGGGAGCGGGACAGGACCTGCCCGGGCCCCAGGGAACACTTCAGGGCCGGGGGTATGAGGGAAGGCCGCGCCGCACCCCTGAGGGGAAGGGGGCGGGTTGGGGCCGTGCAGCAGCCCCAGGCGACCCCCTCCCCCAGTGCCAGCGGGTCCCCAAGGTCACC